GAAGAGACGGAAGGCCTCTGATGAATCAAGGCTTCAAGATTCAAAGGCTTTATGGTCATACGCACATTAGATACAGTATTGAGATATGGCAATCCAAATCTAAAGGTCCCAATACCCTCCACCAATGCAATATATTATAGAGGACATCAAAACGCTATAAAACGTAAAAATAGTCAAATATATGATGCATGACTAATGTGGCGTCCCATGGAATTGCTGCGGTGTCTCTAGCTCCGTCTCCAAACATGGCGTGTTCATTTCGGTGTTTGCTTTCCCCTTCTTGTTTAACTTTCCCTTCCGTAAGCCGTGACTCGAACACGTGTCTGCCTCTCAGTCTGAGGAGAAAGCCAGAGGACCGTTATGATTGAAGCGAGACCTAATACTTTAACCTGCAGAACCTTGCAATTTGTGGTTTTGAAACTATTCATTATATTGTTTGGAAAATGACCCCCTTGTGGATTTGAAGACACCCTTTGCAAATGTATCAGTTTTAGTCAGAGGCCTCCTCAATGTGCTGGCGTATGACTAGAGAGCCCGATCGAACACAGTGATCGGGATCCGGAGCCGATCACGTGATTGTTTCAAAAACAATCGGGAATCGGATCTTTTTCTTTTGTTTTATTCAATGTTACAAAACAAAAATGACCATGTTCAAGTCTTAAAGTCATCCTGAGGCCTTAGTTTTGGTTTCAAATTACAGAACATCATGTATGTGTTGCTTCTTTGGGGCTTGTTTTCATAGACCTGGTTGCTTATTTCTCTCAAATCTGGCAACAGAGTGGGCAGGGCGCAGTGTCTAATTGTAGCAGTAAGCTAACGAGTACTGAAAGCTTTATTTTGTTTTGATCCAATGCTGCACAACTGAACTGATCCAATGCTGCTGTGAAAGAAAGAAGCTATATCCATGTTGGATAGAATATCCAATTTAAATAAAAAAATAACCTTAAGGGACAACTTGAATGCTTTTTTTTCTCTTAATGCATTGCATAAAGATCGGATCGGGAAAAATCGGTATCGGCAAATTGTCAAAATCAAATGATCGGAATCGGATCGGGAGCAAAAAAAGGTGATCGGGACATCCCTACGTATGACTATATACAAATTCACAATTTCACATGACATTACATTTCATATAACTTGTATCCAAAGCATGTGTGTTTTTGTTATGCCGATAATTATCAAATCGTGCTTAAAACGTTTAAATGGCACTTCAAATGTAGGACATGTCTTTTTTAAGTGAAAAACTGAAAACCCTAAATAAGTCATTAATCATAAGGACTGGATAAATATAGGATAGAAAAAGGTATTTTAAAGGATAACAATCTTTAACTCTGTGTTTCTGTGGATCCTAATTCTTGTATTGGGCTTTTCACAATTCCCCCAGCTATGGAAATTCCCCACGATCCATCCCATTTCTATTGTATAAGCATGACAATACATATCTGTGCCTCTCTATACACAATACTAAGGGTATGTAATTAAATCTGGCTCTACTTTATACTTCTCTAAAATGATAGAGAGCTCGACAGCGTTTTTAGGTCACTGTTCCCAATCGTCACAATAATGGCAATTGTTAAAAAAAAGGG